GGCCGCCCAGTTTGCCCTACTCGTGGTTCCACACCATCTCCCAAACTGGCCTGAATCCCCTGCTCGGTCATCCAGAGCACAAGGTCAAGTCCTAGCTGAAATGGAGGCTCCCTCAGACCACGACAAAGGTCCTCATTCGGTCTTTCAGAATGATTTCCCACTTTCGTGGTCGAGGCGAGGCTTGTGATGTTATCGTTCGGCTCTTCTATACTAGCTAAAATGGAGACTTCCTCAATCTTTTTTTTTGTTTTTTTACAGGGACTCACAATGATGATCACGTCGTGTCGGGGTGACCGATCGTGAAGGTATAGAAGCGGTCAATGATGATCCGAACAATAGGTCTTCCTCCACGGAGCGTGAAGATGCCTCTAAAGCAATAAATATGCCATGCCGAGAGGCCGATCATGATATGAGGACTGCGGGGGCAACTGCGGCAGTCGGTCCATAAAACATGGTCATGCTGTAAAAATGTCGATACTAAGTCATCGATCTGAAAGCTCGAATAACGATCTTCATCCGCGGGGAGCAGGGATGATGCTGGTCTTCAAAGTATGTTGATGGCACCGTACAAGGGGGTCGGTGGCCATGTAAAGATGTTGGCGGTGGGGGCCGATCAGAAAGAAATAATCAACGGTCCTCATCCGCGAGGAGCGGGGATGAGACCGATCTTCAGATAAAGAGAATCATGACGTGCCGATAAGCCGGTCGTGATGTAATGGTGTCGGCGATGAGAAGCCGATCAAATGTATCCATGCAACGGCTCTCACCCGCGCAGCGCGGGGATGATACCGGTCTTCATAATGATCACCATGCCGAGCCAGGAGGGTCGGTCGTGGTGAGAGAAAAGTCGGCGCTGGGAGGCCGATCTGGAAATCCAAGGGTCTTACAGGCGCCCTCTGCCCATGGTGCTAGTCATGCCGTTCATGTGGCATAAAGTGATAGTCCAACCGTAATCAAGAATGTGTGAGGGTCTTACAGGCGCCCTCTGCACATGGTGCTTGCTCTAGGTGCCAAACGGTGGAGGCCGGATTGGCAGTCATGGAGCGTGATCTGAAAATCTGTGCATCGTAGAGTCCGTAGGACTTCCCTTCACGTGTCGTGATATCTATACATTTGTAGTCTCTTCTTTCCTCGATCGGCCATGATTCCTCCTACACATTTGTAGTCTCTCTCTCTCTATTTTTTTTTTGGCCAAATCACGAATATCTCTGTGTTTCATAATCTCCCCGTTCGAGCTGACCAAACGGCTCTGAATGTACACATTCCTTCTTTTCGTTGCCAGTTATGAACGTCTCTGCGCTTCATACCGGGCGTCATGAACATCTCTGTGCGTCATGATCTCCCCGTTCGAGAATATCGAACGAATTTGAATGAATGTAATTCTTTTCTCGTTCCCAGTCATGAACGTCTATGTGCTTCATGCTGAATCATCATGAACATCTCTGTGCTTCATGATCTCCCCCGTTCGAGAATATCGAACGAATTTCACTGCACAATCAGCATGGTAATACGGCCGTACGGCCGAACAATATATGCAAGTATATATACACACATGTATAACATTTCTCTTTATTTTTATTCATGGCTACCGGCCAAAGTGGTAATAATAACCTTTGGCCTAGATTTATCTTTCGAACTGCCTATACGCTCTCGGAACCACCTAGTGGTTTCTCAGGCGTTCTCAGGAAAGCTTTCAGCTAATTAAAGTACGTATTTCGCCCCGTACTGGGTATAGTTGTGATCAAGACCTTGAATGGCCCTCTTATTAAAATGCGTCATCGGGCCATGCCCTTGCGAGACGCTTTAGCCAATATCATTTGGACCGAACGGGAGTGGACCGATTGGCCACTCAAACCAAGCATTTAATTAAAAGGTTGATGATCTTATTTATAAAGCTTTGTTCGGCACTATTTGGCTCGGGATGTTCTCACCCCTAATATATCAAGCCATTAATATTTTAATGTACTAGCACTTGACGTCGATTGGACGTTGATCAGGAGCACACCGATAGGCCAACCAAAAAATGGTCATTTAATTTTTTTAAATGACGATGAATATCAAATGGTCACAGTTTCTCTTGGTGTTATTTAACTCGGGGGGTTTTAATCCCTCATAAATGGTAGGATAATCAAACAAGAGAGTAAGTGATGGTACTTAGCTCGGATAGGCTGAATTGCAGCTGCCAGGCCAAATTACTGGCCTGGATAATTTAATTGAACGGTCAAGAGGTGATCCCGCCCACTAACACCAATAATTCTTCCTCATCAGATCCAGCAGTTGCTTTCACAAGCCCAGAACCTTATGGACTCCCAGTTCAGCCCAAGCTGCTCAATGGTCCAGCCCACAACCCCTGCTTGAAATTGAGGACTATTTGGCCGATCGAGACATCCAGAAACCGTTCGAGACTTTGAGCTCTCCCGTCCTTCCAGTCTTTGGTGAATCCATTGGCACCTAACGACACTGCCCTTGATTCACACCGAACCATGGATGTGCCGATCGGGGAATGATTGAGCAGTGGAGATCCAGGCAACGTGGTGCCTGCCAGCCCTTGCGTCGCGATCGACCCGAAGATGGCGGTAGGGGAATTACTGACAGCGGTCTGTAATTCTATCGGATATTTGAGACCGAACGGTGAGATGGTTTATTGCCGGACATGCCTCTTCTCCCGGTCGGGGAATGATGGTGTGATAGAATCAAAACGCCATCCTTGATGCGATGTATGACGGTAGGCTGGAGATTTAACACGCTCTTCCTGCCGTCCTCGTCTGCTTTTTTCTCGACGAAGTCTTCTCCCGGAGGATATGGTCCGAATGTGGAAGGACATCCCGTTCGGGAATTTGGCTTCCCTTCTGATTAATTGTTCCAGAACAGGTGCTGCTAATCTGCTCTCTTTTCTCAAAAATTGGAGTGGACCTCCTGTTTGGTGCAGCTCTCCTGCCCGACCAAGAATGGGAACAGGGCTTCACCATCCCTACTCGTCGGCATCTTTACCTTTCAGTGTTGGATTGGAAGCTCTCGTTCGGGACCTGGAGCCTTCGTTTAGTGAACATGGGCCGAACAGGTTTGGACTTTGGAGTCTACGTGCCCGGTTGTGATGATGCCAACGACACCTGGGCCGTTTGGGCAAGGCATGTGGTCGTCAAGACCGTTAGGTGATGTTAATTCACGATTTTGGCTACACATGGATACAGGGCATGTTCGGCCAGGAAACTCCCGATCAGGCATTACTATATTGAACATGGTTTCCTTTCCTTATTTGATGTGTGTGACCTCTTCTGCAAGTCCTCCGGATGCTCACGATGGACGTTCGAGGAGCTTCCATTCAGGAGGCGGCGCTGGCTTATCGGATAATGATGAATCTGTCAGATAACCAATTATCTTGTCAGGCCTCCCACGTGACTCATCCTTACTGCAGACTAGTGGGACGCGGGCCCAACCATCTTTTTCTTCAATCCTTGGTAGCTTAGATAGCAATAGTTCTTTTTAGCCTCTTGCTTCGGCATGGACTTTTACTTCAGAATATCTTCTATTATACAAAAGCAAGTGGAAAAAGTGTACAGTGTTCCCGCCCAAACACTGTACACTGATGGGCCGGGTCAAGTTTGAGATGGGTGCAGAGACGGGTCGATGTAGAGGCCCAGTTCTCAGTTAACAGCATTTAATATTACAACTGTCTGGCTCAAGCCGGATCAGTTGATACAGCCATCTTTTAGAATTAAAAAATAATTTAAGAACAATGGAGCAACACAATGCCAATCTCGAGCCTCACAAACAATTAATGCAGTGTACTTTTACGAAATAAACAATTGTTTTGGTGGTACTTTTAAAGTTATAGATCATAAATAAAATCTTAATAAAATCTCGAGCCTCACAAACAATAAATACAGTGTACCGTTTATGAATATAAAAAAGGTTTTAGTTGTACTTTAAACCTTATAGATCAAAAATGAAATCCTTATGCAGCCTAGAGCCTTAAGAACATTAAATGCAGCATTTAATTAGCCGTCCTCCATCCTCCAAATCAAAATGAAGTTACCCATAACATTTCTTGAGCCTACAAAATAATAAATGCGTTGTGTACAACAAGATCTCAAAGTAAGATTGACTGGGTTTAACCATTGGTTAATACCCAGACTGCTTAACATTATGCTCCCACCAGCTCCTATAAATAACCACACAGGGATGATCGAAACACCACACCAAGCAACATCAATTTTGTTTTCGTGCAGCAATCAAGAAAATTGAACAATGACAGGGATGTGGTCTTTAATCAAGGACATTGATCATACCAAAACAACCTGGGCTCTAAAGGTTAGAGTGGTAAGGGCATATGAAGTTCCCCCTCACTCGAAAGGAGGGGAAACACTAGAGATGGTTTTGCACGATGCTGAGGTAGAACATATTATTTTGAACACACAACTATGTAGGTTTTAAAAACTTTAATTATTAATGTTACTTTTGTTTGCGTGAAACAGGGTGATCGAATTCATGCAATAATCAAGAGGCCACAAATTGCAATGTACAGGCCTGTGATAACCGAAAACAACATCTATGCAATAAGAAATTTTTTAGTGCTGGACAACTACCAAACAGTGAAGACCACAGATCATCCTTACCTAATTCAGTTCATCTCTAAAACTCAGTTCATAAGGGATACCAAGACAGTACTGCCTATGATGGTTTATGATTTCCAACCTTTTGATATGCTACACGCACAAAGGGTTGTGAATGACAAAAGTCTCATTGGTGGGTAAACTAAGACAATCAACTGTTCAAAATATTTTGGCAAACTGATATAACACTTTGTATTTACTGCACTGTTTTAGATATTATCGGGAAGGTGATCGGGAAGGGCGTCGTCCAGACCCACATTTCCAGCGGTAAGACAGACAGGCATATGGAACTAACTTTGGCGGACCCAGAGTAAGTTTTGGGCGTTTTAAAAACCCTTATGGCGTTTGTGGCATATTTGTATAATACTAATGGGCCTTAAACAACAGGGGTAACCGACTAGGCTGTGTCTTATGGAATAAGTACATTAGCCAATATCAAGATTATATTAAGGAAAATGAAGGGGTGCCCGTTTTTGTGATACTTCAACTCTGCAGACCTAAAAGATTTCAAGGTTATGTAGTTTTTGGTAAATTTTTTATAAGTAAAATAATAAGGCAATCGCAGTTTGTTAACTATTGGATTGGATTGGATATGATGCAGGAACTTTAACTGTGACAACTTCCTTTGATGTTTCCAAACTCATCATCAATGGAAACACAACCGAGTTTATAGAGTTCCAAAGCGAGTACGATAACAACATATTAAATACCTAACAAATAATATACCATAACTCGCATTAAACAATTAAATGGTGGATGCAGATTTCCTGTAGATGGTGATGACACCATTTCACAGACTTGCCTTACACAATGCTCACAAGGTGAAGGAAGGGATGATGTGCTTAGTGGCCGCGCTGTTCTAACCACTATGAAGGATTTGCTGAAAGCTACTGAGGTTAATAGTTATTTAAAGAGCTCTTGATTTAGAAAGAAAGGTTGACTGAACCATCTACGGATCTACCTAATCACGTAAACTTTTAACTTTTTAAATTGAGCAGGAAGATGTTTACTGGGTTCTTGCGGAGGTAGTTTCAATAGAAAACTTTCGGGAATGGTGCTACTTGGGCTGCCCAACTTGCCACAAAAAGTTAACGCCCGAGGAGGAAAGGTTTAGGTGTACTAATTGCAGCGTGACTCTAGCGGGCGGGGTTTACCGGTATCATACTCTCTCCACCTTATGATTAACTAACAACTAAAATTAAATGATTTAACATATTGCCATGCTTAAAATGATTAAGTTACAAGGTCAGCGTATGTATCATGGACAACACTGGCCATGGAAATTTTGTTCTTTGGGACAGAGAGTGTATTGAAATTCTTGGGAAAACATCCTCAAGCCTGATGGCAGAAGTGGAGAAGGTAACTTCTGTACTTTGTGAGACTGAGTATCAGATAGGCAAATCCATAAGTCATATTTTTTTATTTAACAATGTAACTGTTCCAAACTCAGAAAACTGGTGATCCAACAAGATTTCCAGAAGATATTGAAAGCTTGGTGGACAAGAAGGCCATATTCAAAATACAGTTGAAGAAGAAAAGTGAAGAAAATGCCTACAGAGGCGGGATTTCGTTAGGAGTGCTTAGTATGATACAAGATCCTAATGTTTTGGCAATGTATGAAGGAAAGCAGGACATTGGAACAGATGAGAGCGATGAGAAGACTCCAGAAAAGGTATTTGTTCAAAAAAGCTTTCGTACAAACATTTGCATCTTAGTTTTTATAGGTTCTATATTCACAGAAAATTTCCATTACAGATTGGTTCAAGTGCAGACATGGGAGAGAACTCAAACTCTGTTGGGGAGAAATCTACAGTCACTAAGGGCAAGGGGAAACGGATTTCAGCTGAGAAGGAGGTAACACCAAAAGCAAAATTCCGTTCATTCTACTAATGTACTATCTTATTGTGGAGATTTTGAATATCGAATTTCTTTTCGGGTGCTAAGGTCATTGCCCCAATTGAGCTCCCAGATTCACCTACGGCTTCTACCCAGAGGGAGGTTAATGTTGCATGGAATGTTGAGATAACCAAAAACCTTAACGATGAATTTTCAAGCAACGGGAATGGCAAGAAGCTAAAGATCAAAATCAAACAGGAACCACTCTAAATATGGTTCTGCGCCTTAAAGACTGCAGTGTTTTTGTGTTGACATCTAATATGGTGTTTACTTTTGATGGAAAACTGTTTGAAATGGCAGTATGTATGACATCGTTTTTTGCAAGTGTTGAAACGCTATGTGTGACAAACATTAAATAACTTGGTTCTCTATGTGTATTTAGTTATCCTAAAATTTGTTAAGATTAGTGTTGAAAAATATTACAGCTTGCTCTTTGTGGAGGGTATAGATATCTATTTGAACGTTTGCAGGTTTACCATACAGATATCAGTACAGATACTGCTTCGCTAAAGGGACGTACATACTTCTATTTTTTTGTGAATATCAGGATTAGGATATTATTTTGATGGTGAAACTGACAGAGTATAAAATGTTATGATGCAGGGAGTTCAAGTTGTAGCTGAGCAGATATCTAAATGAAGGAAATGGGCTTCCATTTTGGTAGAATAAGACGCAAATTATGTAACTATGTAATTTTAGTGCAGAAAATGTATTAAATTCAAAAAGTGTGCAGTGGATACTACAAGTATGTGCAGTTTATAATAAAAGTTGTTTGTTTTTGTTTCATGGATTGGATTCAAACTAAATGTTAAAAAATAGGGCATGATTATTCTTAACAAAACTTTAAAACTGGGGTAAAGTATTAGTTCGTACCTGAACCTTTGATTCGGAAGCTGTCACCTGCAATCCCTAACTTAAACTAAATAATATTACAGACCTTTTAAAAGATTACATTAAGGGCAACCTTCTAAGGTCCCACAACTATTTCTGTTACAATTTTCTAAATGCAATTCATCTAAAGAGTTGTAGTGAACCTGAACATATCAACTGCACAGATAAATGCATCAAAAATTATGGTTTGCTTAAAATACAATCTGTAGATTTGAAATCATTATGTTGACAATTTGGAAACTCCATTTTTTTTATACATAAAGATAAAGTTAAACATACTTATACGATAATGTATTTCAGTAGGAGTTGTAATGAACCTGAACGTATCACCTGCACAGATTAAGGCATAAAAAAATAAGGTTTGATCAACAAGTTAAAATACAATCTTTAGATTTGAAATCATTATGTTGAGAATTGGGAAACTGCATTTTTTATATAGATATGATAACATACTTATATGATAATGCAATTCAGTATTTACGAAATACATTATACAATTTTTATCTAAGGTACAAAGTAGTTTGGGTTTTCCAAGAAAGTTTTGGGATTTTTAGTTTAAAGAATTTACGAAATACATTATACAATTTTTAAAAATAAATATATTTGAAATGAATTTAAGTAATAATTAAAAATAATTATGTATGTACGTCCCTTCAATTATTTTGAAGTGCAGGTTATCCTCTACACTCCAAAACCCAACCAATGTACCTCATCAAGACTTCAGCATTTTAGATACAATAGCTATTCAATTGCTATTCAGTACATAAAAACCTAGCATAAGCTAGGTTTCCAAATTATTTTTCGGAAAAAACATTTTGGAATTTTTCTATATTAATAAGCTTCGTAAAACCTTCAGCATTTTAGATACAATTGCTATTCAGTACATAAAAACCTAGAATAAGAAAAACATGGGATGAATCCGTGAAGTACATCGGTGGTGAAGCAAACATTGATTATGTTATTGTCAGCCTTGATGTGGTTGCCCAGGTGTTTCATATATGAATAACCAAGGTTTCCTGTAGGCCTTATTTTAAAAACATTAAAAAAACATATATTCGTGGTAAATCAAGAAGAAAATAGTTTTAAAAATCAGTATATAATACCAAATTTTGAAAAAATTTAAATAAATCAGATTGAATAACCAAATCTTTTAAAAGTTATACTTCGTATATGTTTTGTGAATAATATCATTTCAACTTTAAAACAGTAATACAAGTGCAGCCAAGTGTTCAAGCCCAAACACTGTACAGTAACGGGTTGGGTATATTTGCAATTGGTTCAATCCAGGGGTGGTCAGTGGGTATGGTTAGGTTTACTACAGGACCAATAAAACAGTCTGTGCTTCAATTCTTTTTGGTCATATGAATTTCTTGAGCCACACAATCATTAAATGAAGTGTACTTAAAAATCTTGGGAGTACACATATAAAAACCAAACAAATTCTTGAGCCCACAAAAAATTTAATACACCGTACTATGCTATCATCTTTTACCTGACATATATAATGATTCGGTAAAAGAGTTTAAATGTATAAAGCTATATTTAATAAATATATTAAATTAAATAATAAATGTGATGTATCAAATTAATGAAAAAACCATAAAAGCTATCATATTCTACACCAAATTTTAAATAATAATAACATAACATATACTGATTTAAAAAAAAAATCGAAATCTCAAAATATAGCCCCTGTGTAATTGTGTGTTATAGGGTAATCACCATTCAGTAGTTAAAACATAAGTCCATATTAAAGGAGCATAAAATTAATTTAAATATTAGTGAAAATATTTTACATTGCTGTCTATAAAGTATAAGACATATAAGGGTAGTTGGAATACAACTCAGAGAGTTGTGATTTATAAAAATAAAACAGTTATTTTAAACCTTATTGTATAGCATAGTCAGAAAATTAAGAGTAGTAGGCGTGTAGGTCTGCTAGCATTAAATGGAGATATCAGCGATATCTTAAAGTAGGATTTTGCATAGGTCTGCTTATTAAATAAGCATAGACAACGTAGGTCTGCTCATTAAATGAGCATAGACAGCAGCAGGTAACTTCATAATTAATTACAGAAGTACTTACCAATGACCTATAACCAATACACCAATCTGTGAGCATATATACCACCACATTTGCATTAACTTCTTGCTCAGAAACTCATTTACTGAGCTCAACAACATCCAACCAGAAAGCACGCATTTAGTTTTGAGTATAAGGTGTGACGAGTGTTCTAACCACACCAAGCAAAGGTATGTTTCCAACTATGCTATTCTTTCAATTAAGCATAGATGGATAAGAGTGAATTATGTACCAAAGAAAATGGTTGGTTATTAATGTAATGAACATTCCTTAAATGCAATGTGGATCATACTTTTACTAATGAATATAGTTTAAATAACAAGTTTTAACTTTGCCATTAAAGATGAGATGCGGGTCAAGCACAAATGATTCTCCAAAATGTCATGCATGTGGGAGGATGCCTGGACTGTTTTGGTTGGTGCCATGCTTTGCGTGTAAAAAATTAAATCACTTTTACTGTATGAATCCTCTTAACAAAAAAAAGTTTACTGGGAGATACTTATGCAACGAATGTCAAGAATGGATAGATGCAGGTCATGAAATACCTAGAAGATCAGGTCGGATCAAAACCCTGAACCAGAAGTATTTCAATGAAAAAATGTGTGTGGGGATGAGTTTTGGTTGGCTAAACATGGCATGAAAATAATGCTGCATTCCCAGTATGAGATATGCCTGTGGTTTTTGTCAGTTATGTAAAAGTAGTGACCTCTTTTGTTAAAACGAAAATCGTGTGGTCTGTACTATCAGATGATATGCTCAGACATGTCCAGTTTGCTATGTAAAAGAATGCTATGTAGTGCATGAAATGTTATTGAATGACATGTAATCAATGAAATGTTATATGATGCTATGTAATCAATGAAATATCATGGAATGCAATTATGCATGTTTTTTTGATAACATACATGTGCAGTTAGCTATACTGATAGTTTTATTTATACATTTGAAATAGAATTCTGTGTAGCTATTAAGTGAAATGCAATATAAAAACTTAGATGAGTATAGTTTACATGTTTTCAAATTAAATTCAGAATTACATATATATTACATGAGATGCAGATGAAATTAAATCACAAATTAAGGAGTTCATGGGTTACCGATGTTCAGGCCAACGGACTGCCAGACCACACAGTTCCGAAGGCCACTATGGTGGCTGGCAGGGTATCTGGCAGTCCTATGAGATGGGCCTTTACTCAGTAACCTGAAAATATTGAAATTAAAATGAAATGAAAAAGTGTATGAAGCATCATTTAATCCAAATTAAATCATAACTTAAAATTAAAAGGCTGAATTTCCTTGCTATATTGTGATCTTTCACCATTTGAAAATAAGAGAATGACAATTATGTGTAAATAACAGCTCTTGAATGAAGAGGATTACGAAAAGCACAACAATCAACCGTAAAAGAAGTCTTCAAGACTTGACCAACAAAGGTAGCTTTGTATAAATTATCAATGTCTTTTACATTTGTGATGGTAGGTACATAAAAAGAGGTTCAGAAATGAATTTTTCTGGGAAACTAGATGAGTGTTAAGTCTGTACAGAATATGTATCCAACATTAGGGTTTCAAAGTTTAGGAATCAGATTCAGATTTTAGAAAATGTAAACAATTGAAATTCGGGAAAACTGGTAGGCATGTATGATTAGGGTTATAAAGTTTAGAAATAAGATTCAGATTTTAAAACTAATAAGAACCCTTATGAATTATAACAACAGATCTGAGATAATCTATACCCCAAACGTCAAAAACAACACTTAGTCTGAGATCATTGTGAATCACTCAGGGTTGGTGCTAAATCTG